GGGTTGACTAGATTTGACTCGGGAAAAGTGAAGGCTGGAAGGTTGATTGAACTCCAGGCGATGAATAGTCTTCAGGTTGGACAGCCACTTCGAATGCCGCAAGCCCAAAGTCTTGCCAAAGAACTCGGGATCCGAATCATACCACGCCGTTGGGTCCTGACAGCCAAAACGGTGGAAGGCATGTCTGGGCAATGCCGGGCACGTTGCGTTGCTCAAGAGATCGCTAGTGGAAGTGCTTCAGCCCAGAGCCTGGGTATTTCGAGCACGACGCCCAGCGTCGAAACCTTTCGTTGTTTCTTGAGCATATGATCCAGCACCACGACATGCATTTGGAGGGACTTGATATTTCCACAGCTTTTTTGAACAGCGAGCTACCAGCTGGAGTCCGAGCAATCGTGAAGCTTCCATCTGACTGTTCATTTGAAAGCACACACTACGAGGGAGTGTATCTCGATCTATACAAATCGATGAACGGACTCCGAGTAGCAAGCAAGAGCTGGCTGCAGTCATGCACAAGGATCCTCACTGACAAGGTGAATCTCGTGCCCTGTCGTGTCCTTCAAATGCTCCAGTAATAGTGATGATATATGTTGATGACCTATTGGTTGGTTCGGTCTCCAAGAGTGGAATTGCTGACGTCAGGGGAGCCCTTCAAGAAACCCTGAAGGTAAGGGTGACTGGTACCATCACGAAGTCAAATGGAGCCAGAGGGACAATTATCTTCTTAGGGCGTCACATCGTCCGTCCCGCCGGGTCACAAGACATCTTGCTTCGAGTGCCACCTAGCTATTTAGCAGACTTATTTGTCAATGATCCTTTCTGTTGCGAGCTTCGGTCCTCCGATGTGCCACCAGATTTGTTGAGTATTCTCGAAAAGGGAATAAAGGACCCAAGTTGCATCGAGCTTTTGACGGAAGAGGCATCTTCGAGGTACAAGAGGATCATTGGCAAACTATCGTGGTGGGCACAGTCCAGGCCTGATCAAGCCAGATTCCTGTCCATTCTGGCCACAGGACAGGCGACGCCTAGCAATTTGCACGAGCATGCCCTGAGAAGGTACCTTCGGTACGTCAGGAGTCATTTGCACCTTTTCCAGAAATTTCCTTCAGGGAATGTTGTGCTGCCTGAACTTGATGGCCTTGGGGTTCGAGCGACCTCGAGAAACGGCGCTCGACGAGCGGTGGGTTGGTGTTCTGGCAGGGATCTCTTGTGAAGGGATATAGTCGGCTCCAAGGGTGCATTACACTTTCCTCTTGCGAAGCAGAGATCATAGCAGTATGCCAACTTGCTCAAGAGTGTTTGGGAATCCGACATGTCACAGAATTTTTGGAAAGCTTTGGGGACAGAAACATGTTGTTGCGACTCACCAGTAAAGAGTATCTTGAGTTGAGGTTTGATGAAAGTGGCAACCTTGGTGACCATCACCCCATAGTGATCTTCACGGATTCACAAGCTTGCATCGGTGCTTTGAGCAACCAGGGACTGAGTAGGCGAGTTCGCCACATGTCGATCTCAGTACGTTACATCCAAGCTTTGAGAGATTGTGGACATCTTGTTTTGGAATGGCTGCCAGGCACTAAGTGCACTGCTGATCTCCTTACCAAGGTATTGCCCATTGAAGCAAACAACTATCATCGTAGTCAGCTTGGAATCGTTGAGGTCCTAGGACAAGAAGAATGGCAAGTGATCACAACTAGAGATAGGAAGAATCAATCTCGAAAGTCTGACGCGCAGACTGCCGAAGTCCAAGATGACGATCCGCATGCAGGAGACCTTTCAGTTTTTGAGGCAAAGAAAAGTTTGTCTGCTGGAGGTCTCGATGACTTCAAGAGCTTTTTGAGTTTTGTGGGGATGCAGGTGAAAGCCGGGATCGTGACGCATATCATCGTTGAACCGTGCACCACCTTCCATGCAGGATTGTCACAGGGAGCCAATGATTTCAACACCAAGTGTTGTGTTGTGATTCCTGTCACTCAGGACATTGATCTTTTCCGTGTTGGCAAGCTTTTGCGTTCATGGCTTGTTCAAATGAATGGGACTCACCCCAAAGCATTGGTTCTCGGATGGTCTTCCCCTCCGTGCACAGGAGGATCACCGGTCCTTAATTTGATTCCCCAGCCAAAGCGAAGTGAACTCCAGAAGGGGCACCTAGAAGCACTTGAAAGAATCCTTGGTGAATGCCACCCAATCTTGAAGATTTGTGATGTAAGGGTTCTTGAGATGAGTCAGAGGTGCTCATACTGGCGTGAGGAGCTGGTTCAGTCGTTCTGCCGGTTCCATGGATTGGAGTCCATCTTGGACGTAGCACGATGTGCCTATGTGAATGACGTTGAGAAAGCGCCGGCTTTGCATCGATATCGATTCGCATGTTCCATGCCCATGTTTCAGCCGAAGATCTGTCATTGTGAGAGCCACATGTCGTTAAACGGCCAACATCTGTCAAAGCTAGGTGAATATCCAAAGGACCTGGCAATTGATGTAGTGAAATGGTTCATCACGAAAGGCTTTGAAGCATAGAGTGAATGAATTCAGCTGAACGATCGTCTTTTGTTTTTGCATCTGTTGTGACTCAATTGATCCAGTCGATGTACATTGCCATTTGTAGCAAGTGGGATCGCGTGGATCGACTCGAGCACGACAGAACGAAGAAATCCACATAGTGTTTATTTCGAGCTTGACTCAGTTGGGAACAAGATCTCATTTGATTCGAGCTTTTCACATCACCATTGTGCATTGAGTGCCAATAGGTTGCAGTCGCTAAATTCCATAAATTGGATACAATTCAAATCTTTGCAGGTGTTCTTGAAGCCATGGCCCCAAAGTCCAAGATCACGATCACAGTGGATGCACCAAGTGACACGGAAGTTCATGTGACCGTGAGCCCTGGGCAGGTGGCTGAGGATTCGGGAGCAGGGACCTCGACAGATGTTCGGGCCAAAGGAGGTTCAAAAGGGAAATCCAAGAGCCAGGTTGATGGAGAGCACTCGAAGGATGGCCAGATGGATCATGATGATTCTCTGAGTGAAGGGGATTGGGAAGAAGTCAAAGCAGAGCCTTCACCTTCGTCACCGATCCCACCGAGTGATTCGCCGCCAGAACCGCACCCTCCTTCGCATTCCCCGCCAGATGCTCAGGAACTACCTGAATTTCGCTACAAGATCACGAGGAAGGCAGGAGAGCGTGTGCATCGTGAGTCATGCCGGACGCTCAAACATCACGGGGAGCATCAAGTGATTTTGCCCTCGTTGTGCCAGACTTGTATGCCGGCAGGTTTTTTGTCTCAGGAGACACGAGATGGATTCAGTTTTGAATTTCCATCTCATCTCCACATCGTTGGCGAACATAGTCGACCTTCTTGCATCCCAAGGTGCGACAAGATTTTGAAGCCTTGCCGGCAGTGCATCGTCATCCCATAGCCCAAGACTTGAAGGATTTGGTTAAAAGAAGAGCTTGAAGCTTTGAGATTTGACCCCAAAAAAAGAAAAATAACCTTCTCTCGCGTCGAACATTTTCATTGTATATCTTTAAGCTTGGCGAAATGTGATGCTTGGATCTCCTCACAAATTGATAAATGCACGGTGTTTCAAGCCAAAGAGGCAGACATGCACTCAGAAGAAAATTCAATGCTTGTATCGAATACTCGACTTGCAGAGTAAGGTTTCAATGCATGACATTTCAGCGTTTTTGTGCACAGGTTTTCATGACACAGTTCATCACACATCCGTTTACAACATACACTGGAATAGCTCTCGAAAAAGCATAGTGCAGGTCTTTTCGGAAGAGCCATAGTTCGGATGTGCCGAAACCGTGATCACAACACCGGGTTTGGGAGAATATGAACTGAATGTGCCGAGAGATGTCTTGATGATTGCTATCCACAAAGTGCAAGTCCCACCTTTGGTTGAGGGGGGGTGTGAATAGTTGACACCTGAATGGACCTCTTGACAACCAAAGGGTTCTTGCATTTGCTCGTGTATCTATAGACACATATAAGGCATATTCACTTGAAATGCACCGGTTATTGCCTTGTTACTGTGGTAGTTTCCTAAGCCTACCCGCCTGGGCAGCCAACCCGTGTTGGCGGCCTCCACCTTGACGCCTGGTGCACTTTTGTCCGCAGGCTGTGGATTCACGAATCCACTTTTGGCCGACTCGTCATGTGCCCCGAGTGCACAAATCGAGTGTGTACCACATCCCAACCAGAGAGGAGCATGGACCCCTGCACAAGGGATGACACGCATTCGAGACTTCGACATGCCATCGTGGCGTGGCTCAAGCGCGACAAAAGTGTCGCGCACCGGGAAGCTGGGCGGTGAGAAGACGTCGCGTGCCGACACCGACGAGGGTTCGAGAAGTGTACCAAGTTTTGCATTTTGTTTTTCTTGGGGTTTGACAACTTGTTCAACTTGGTTTGAAGTTTCATACCACCACGACCACCACCACCACGGCCACCACCACCACGGCCACCACGGCCACCACCACCACCACCACCACGACCACTACCACTGCCACTACCACTACGACTACGACTACCACTACCACTACGACTACGACTACTACTACTACTACTACCACTACTACTACATACTACTACATACTACATACTACTACATACTACTACATACTACATACTACATACTACATACTACATACTACATACTA